AGCCTGCATGCACGTGGAACAGATTTATTTTATTCCAAATGTTACTTGTGCAACTTGCAAGTGTGTTGTTGCTCTTTACATCCAAATTATTATTATTATTATTATTTTTTACAAGACGAGAGGCGGAGCTCTTCAGCAAATTAAGCCGGGAATGAAGCATCTCCTCTGGGAAGAATAAAATATTTATATCAATCACTTTTTACCACGGCTCTCCAACAAAAAAAACAGAGCACCACATAGATAGATTATGTAAAAATTTAAATTATAGGAATAGAGGTAAAAAGAAAAAAAAACATTACTGACGGAATGCACTTTTTAAGATAAATATGGGATAAAAAAAAAAAAAAAACATTACTGCCGGAATGCACTTTTTAAGATAAATATGGGATAAAAAAAAAAAAAAAAGATTTTCCCTATGGCCAATTTCCCTACTGAGGAACAGATACGTGTGGTGATGTTACTGTAAGATTACAGGAGCATTAAATATTCTGACCAAAAAAAAGTTGAAGGACTTTTAGGCTAGGGCAGCACGGTAGTGCAACTGGTAGAGCTGCTGCCTCTCAGTGAGCAGGTCCCTGGTTCAAATCCCAGTCCGGGGGACTTTCTGGGTGGAGTTTGCATGTTCTCTCCGTGCTGCGTGGGTTTTCTCCAGTTTCCTCCCACAGACCCAAAACATGCATATTAGACTGATTGATAACTCTAAATTGTCTCTAGGTGTGAGTGAGAGAGTGAATGTTTGTTTGTCTCTATGTGTCCCTGTGATGGACTGGAGACCTGTCCAGGGTGTCCCCCGCCCCTCGCACAATTGCCGGACATGGGCACTGGCGACCCCCGTGACCCAAAATGGAAGAAGCGTGTAAAGAAAATGGATGGATGGATTTTTAGGCTTTGTACCATGATTTCTCATCTTGTTTAGACTTCACTTTGACGTTTATCTGACCGTTCACAGAACCCACTCATGGTAGTTTCTGGTTCAACTGGACCAGCAGGGACAATAATAAACTGTAAGTTGAGCAACAAATCTGATTACTCACCAGGTTTCCTGTGATCACTTATCATAATATCTGCTTGTTCAGAGTTTGTTTGTCATTTGCATTTCATGTGGTACATGTGGTGGAATGAGATTATGTACGCAGGATCCCAGTTACACCCAACAATAAAATGTAGAAGGAAAAAAAGCCTCTTTCTGACATGGAAGTTGTAAGTATGACGTTTCTGTCATTGTTGCTGCAGATGGAGGTATTATAAAGTTGGTTGATTTAAACAAACAACATTCATGTTGCTCTACCTTGATATATTGATTGGTTTAATAAGTTCTTCCAAAATAAACAAGCAGTAGTTTTTCCCCTCCAGTTTATGAGATGACTAACAATCTTGAAGAGTTTCAACTGTTGATTCAACAAAACAAGTTGATCTAGTCTCTCCAGTTCCTTAGCAGTGGATCATTTTTTAAATGTGAATGTATTTTGTGTGAACTATTTAGAATACAATAGGCCGTGTGTGAAAGCATATGCACCATGTAGATCAAACTAAGGCCTCATCCACAAAAGAACAGTATTCTGTGACTACCTGAAGTTTTTTATTGTTTCAGCCGAGTGTCCACACAGAAACAGCTTACAGTAGTTTGGAAACCAGGTTATAGAATGACAAAATGTTGAAACACCACCCTCAGGTTTTCATGTGGACTCTAAATACAAAATTTTGAAAACTATGACGTCATAGACCAGCTAATCCAACCTACAACCCCAAGTATGACTGATGTAACAAGACTTACAGAATTCCTGTTTGTTTTTGAGCTGCACATGCTAGTTTCTCAATGACAGTAAAATATTTGTATCGCGTGATGGATTTCAGAAGGAGCAAACACCCCCATCCCCCACCTGCACATAGGAGGATCTGTGGTGGAAGTGGTCTCCAGCTACAAGTACTTGGGTGTGCACATGAATGACAACCTCAGCTGGAGCAACAACACCACCAGCCTGATCAAGAAAGCTCATCAGAGACTCTACTTCCTCAGACGGCTGAGGCGAGCTGGTCTGGGAAGCTCAGTCCTCACCTCCTTCTACAGGTGTGCAGTGGAGAGCATCCTGTGCTCCAGCATCAATGTGTGGCATGGAGGCTGCACAGCTGCAGAGAGAAAAGCTTTGCAGAGAGTGGTGAAGGCTGCACAGAAGATGTTGGAATCAGCCTCCCCACCATCACAGACATCTACACCTCCAGATGCAGGAAGAGGGCCCCCTGCATCATGAAGGACCACACTCACCCAGCACACACACTTTTTGTCCCGCTCCCCTCAGGAAGGAGGTTGAGGAGCATTAAGTGTAGAACCACTAGACTGAGGAACAGCTTCTACCCTGAGGCTGTTAGACTCATGATAATCACTGTGAGGCCACTTTAATTGGAAATTTGACATTTTATCTGTACTGCTGATTATCCATGCTGCTGATTTCTTACCGTAAGCCTCTGTATTCATATTTGCTCTCAACAGACTCATGTTCAGGCTGCTGTCTAATGCACCTTATTATTTTATATTATTATTGTTTAGTGTATATCTTAGGTCCTTGTACGTTTTCAATGTTGCTGCTGATCTGTTTCATGTTGCTGCTGATCTGTTTCAATGTTGATGTGTTCATGCATGCTCATCTGCTCACATGGACTCATGTTCATGTTTGTGCTGATGTTCGACGTAATGTTTTATGTTGTGAGTGCTTAGTGTATATTTAGTTGATGTTTTTCTTAGTTCATATCTCAGATCTTATTACTGTTTTTCTTATACATTTTATTGTTGGATGTAACTGGGACCCTGTGTACATAATTTCGTTCCACCTCATGTACCACATGTCCAATTCAACTCAATTCAGTTCATTTATATGGTGCCAAATCACAACAAAGTTGTCTCAGGGACTTTACAGGAACATTCACGTACATACAGTGTAAAAGCCAATTACCAGCCTGAAGTAGTTCAAAGCAAAAGCCCTTAATATTACACCAAATAATCCAAGGACAAAAAGGTTTTCATCATTTTATTGAACTGCCAATCATACCAAAGCTTATATTACAAAAAAGAAGCATTATACATCAAGTACACCTTTTGAAGAGCTTCCAGTGAACTTATATGGGATACTTGTTTTGCAAGAGCTTTAAGGGGACGAGCACGTTTTGAGCTCCAGGCTCAGCAGGAGCTCAAGACTGAAGTCAAATCTTTACAAAGGGGTCAAAGGTTCAGATGACCTCACATCTAAATTCTGCAAAAACCTTTGGAAGCAGCTGGTCACCATCCCTCTTAGAGATGTTCGCCGAGTCTTTTAACACAGACATGCTCCATCAAACCTGGAACCAGACTTTTTTCCTCTGACTCAGTCGATCTATTTGGTAAATGTTGACTTTAAATTGCTGGTAAAGTTATTAGCCTGGCATTTAAAAGCAGTTTCACCCTCAGTCATAATCACGCATCAAACCTGATTTATCAGAAATGAACACACATTTTTAATTACCATGAAGTTTTTAATGTGGTTTAAAACCTACGCACAGCAACTCTGAGGCTTTAATTGTACTGGATGTGAAAAACAAAGCATTTAACAGAGTAGAATGGAATTATCTGCTTTCTATTGTGGGAAAATGAGGATTTAAGGAACAAACAGAACTGTCAGAACATATGGCACGAACACTGAATATTTTTACTTACATAGCTCTACAAGGCACAAGATCAAGTCTGCAAGGTCCCTCATCCAGGGGACTCGCTGCTCCTCCTCATGAAGATGGTTCAGGCAGATAGTTAGGATGTCTCCTAATACTTATGAACATGTGGAGGACACTTCTGGACAGGCCCAGAACTTTCTGGAGTGATTATCTCTGGTCTGGGAACACTTTAGATCTACCAGAAGGTGCTGGAGAGTGTCTTTGAGATATAACTTGTTGTATACAGTGAAATATAAGAAAATGCTTCTGTTTGTGTTTCTGTGTAGACTTGGAGCATCGGCCCCACCCAACCATGTGCTCATCATAAAACTAGTGATTTGTGAGGCATATTAAAGTCGTTTACGTTTCAGTAAACAACTTGAGCAGGCAGAGATTTCTGCAAATTCTGGAAATCCTCAGTTTAACCAACTTAAATAAACTCCCTGTTTTATATCAAGCCAGGAGAGTTTTGGTTGGAACCAATGAAAAAACAACACGTTTGGTTTCGAACCTCGTCACACACGTGTAGCTGTGTGCGTGCACGCTGCAGTAACGCTGCACGAGACAACCACAAGGTTACATTAAAGACCTAGTTCTCCCTGAAGGAATGCATATTGTTTAAGACCAAGATATACCAAGAAGGAACAGTTACAGAAGTTAAAGTCAAACTCCAAATAATGTTCTGCAGCACCTTGAGATGTGTCTGAACATCACCAGCCACAACAACATAACCTTGAGCCTAAAGCAGTGAAACAGCCATGTTTAGTTGGGCTAACATTAGTTAGATATAGTGGCCATCTTGAATCTTATTAACTGTAATTAGTAATGTGTTATAGAGGTACAGGCCGGGACTGTTTTTAAGGAGTTCTAATAAAATTCATTCAGTGATTCAACAGATATTTTACTAATAGACAGA